CACCCCCCAATTAAGCCTCATGTAGAATCATAGAATTGTAGAGTTAGAAGGGAGCACAAAAAACATCTAATCCAGGGAATGGTAATGCAGGAAAACCAGTTAAATCTTCCTTGAGAGGGACTGCCCAGCCTCTTCTTAGAAGCCTCCAGAGATGAAGAACCCACAGCCTCCATAGGTACTCTGGTCTACTGTTGTACAAATCTGGCTGTCTGGAAATTTTCCCTCATATTTAAACAAAATCTAGGTAGCTGCAACTTACCTCTGTTATTTCTGGATCTAGTTTCCATGGCCATGGAAAATAGCTCTTAATTATCTTCCCTGTAGCATCCCCTTATATACCAGAACATGGCTATCATGTCTTCCCTGAAAATTTTTTTATTCAGACTAAACATCTCCAGTTCTTCCAGGCATATCCTCAAGTCCCTGTATCATCTTGGTTGCCCTCCTCTGAACCTTCTCTATCCTGTCAAGATCCTTCTGGAAATGTGGTGCCCAGAATCATCAGAAAGATGAGTGAGAAAGTGCATGGGTTTAGTCTCCAGGAAATGAGTCCAACCATAAAATGGTACATCCTTAGGCTCATCTTCAGGTCCACAGCACAAGATACCTTGCTAACCAATTTTAGGGGACATAACCTCATGAGGTCACCTCTCTCTCATCTCCATCTGGTTGCAGTGGCAGCCTGAACTTGTCTTTAGTTGTTCCACTGCTAAGGGAATCCTTTTCCTCTTCTCCTGATGTAAGACTGGACACTTGGCTTGTAAAGAGGAGACCAATGGGTGGGCTAGGTGTCAGTCCTAAACTGGACCTTTTGAGTATGCAGAGAATCCTACGAAAGAGGCACTGAATCATTGACCAGTGTTGTTTCTTCCAAGCAAACACTGATCCTTGTTGAAAGGAGCCATTCTCAACCTTGGCAACTTCAAGACGTGTGGACTTCAACTCCCAGAATTCCCCAGCCAGAATTCTGGGAGTTGGTCCACACATCTTGAAGTTGCCAGGATTGAGAAACCCTGCCTTAACCACACCAAACTGGCTTTCAGAATTAGAAATAACCTGGATCCAATTAACTGTCTTTGTTCTGGAGTAGCATACACTACTATTACGTGGCTGCGTATATATTTAAATATATTTATATTTGCTCTTTATACTAAATAGTTGAGGGTAACAAGATGCTGCCTTCTCACAGCCTTATTTACCATGTACTTCGTTGTGTATCTGTATAAAATTAGAAAGGTTCGAGATTAGATCTTCTGTTTCCCCCTCGTGGATTTTTAAAATATTTATTTTGTGCCCTTTTGATCATTAGTAAACCTGTCTTCATGAAGACCTCAATGAGGGTAGTAATGTATTTCATGTTAAAAGCATGCAGGCACGCACATTTTCTCTCTCATTTGTATTTTTAAAACTCTTTGCCCTAATATTTTGCAGAATGTTTAATGCAATAATGTTAATGGTATAGCTGTATTTCGTGTTTATTTTGCCAGCCACAAAGAGGACAGAAACTACATAGCATGTTGTCCCAACTACTGGCAGTTATATGCCTCTGTTCCTTTTGTTTCTTTTTGCAGACATTTTAAAATGTGTAACTATCTCCCAGATGAACCATGAACAAACATATTTTTCCAGACCTGCAATTTTTTTTTTTCACAAATATGAAGGTTGCTTTTCTTGGCAAGTAACCTTCTAGGGCAGAAATGGGGAGCTTCGGGGTTGTGGGCCTAATGTGGTTTATAAAGCTGCTCTATCTTGCCTGAGACCCTCTCCTGCTCCCCAAACCCACCCTCTTGGATTGGAACATCAAAGCAGATCTTTCCACTACTTTAGAACTGGTGGTTGAAGATATTTCCAGATGGAGGTTGGCGTGTTGTGAACATCACCACCACCACATTTGGAAGGTCGCTTTTAGCTCACATGGACATTCCAGCTGATTTACAGATTAGATTTTCTAAGCCGTGGCCTTCCAGATGGGATGGACCACAACTGGTTGGGAATTGTGGCACTAATAGTCCACTCTGTTGGAGGGCTCTCAGCTAGGGAAGGTAAGTCTACATGTGGCCCACCCAGCAGCCTTGTGTGGCTCACTGGCATTTTTTGAAAAATAACCAACTGCCACCAAATGTCACCAGGAAGTTTCCACCACCGTCCAGATCAGCGTTTCTCAACCTTGGCGACTTTAAGATGGGCTGGCTGGGGAAATTTGGGGGTTAAAATCCACCCATCTTAAAGTTGCCAAGGTTGAGAAACACTGGTCTAGATTTTTGCAACCACTTCTGTCCTAAAATTCACCTGCCTCCAGGTCTCACAGAGACTGCCAGCTCCATTGCTGCCCCCACGTGGCTAGCCACTGAACAGCTGATTGGCGTGCCAGCTCTTCCTTTGTGGCCTGTGTTTTTTTAAGGTGTTAATCTGCCCTTTCTCCACGATGAATTGTGCAGGCCAACCTATAGGTTCAGGAAATACAAATATGTAGACAGTCTTGGACAGAATTTCCCTTCCACCTCTACTTCTTCACCTTGGGATACAAGACAGCTGTCATTACAGGACTATCAGAACGAAGCAGCGAAGTAAGTCCTTAGCAGAATAAAGAATTAACAAAGGGCAGGAGGGAACAAAATGAGAGTAAACTGTTTTATTGCATGAAGAAGCAGTGCAAAACAGTGACCACTCATTGCAAGACATACCTGTTCGCTCAAAAATAATCCAGATACATTGGACTAAAACCTTAACCAGCATGGCTAAGCAGATTCCTGAAAGGGTAGATCAGTTTGGGGGAAGATTACTCTAGCCTATCACGAGATAGGTGCTGCCCAAGGAGATGACTGAAAATGTTGGTTGGCGAAATCGCAAATGCTGAGAATTTTTCTTCAGTTTGTTATTGGATCGGGACTTACCAAAATTCAGGCTTCTCCAAAAACACATGAAAAGACAGTTGAGTTATAAACATTTAAATGTGGGAGTATGTGAAACTTAGAGGTCTGTCCAGCCGAGCAGAAACTTGAATGCATAGGGCTAAGTCCCTAGGAGGCTCCATATTGGGGAGGGGGAGGAAGGGGGTCTCCTCATCTTTACCAACTACAAGACAGTAAAGTAGAACACACTCTCATTTGATCTGGTTACTTTTTCCAGTGACAAGGTGGACTCGGATTCAGAAAGGAATTTCATTCTCGGATGGAAAGCACTTTTGATTAAAATTAATAAAACTGATGAATGGTGTGAAACAGGGCTTTGGCTAGGAAAAAAAAATACTGAAATTGACAACCATCGGAACAGAAATGATTGTGTAGTAACAATGATTTTGGAGAGAATGAAATCCTTTCAAAGTTATGGTTGTCCCATTGAGCCAAATTCAACGAAAGAACCCCCAACTTAGAGGTAACTTAATTTTCCAGAGTCTTGCTGGCTGTTTTCTCTTAAAAACTGCTTCGGTTTGATGCCAACAGACTCTCCTTGTGTCTTCAGATCCTTTCATCACAAAGTTTTAAGCAACTCACAACGTAGCGATCAGGAGGAGGTTTTCTGCCGTGGCGTCTCTCCTTCTCCCAAAGTGGCAGAGGTCCCGATGCATCAAGGTATGGCAGTTGAAGGCGCACGGTTCTTTGGCTCAGATGCGGCAGCCGTTTAGAGCAAAGGAGTCGGTGAAAGACTGAAGGAGACTGCAAGTGTTGCGATACTGGGTGGCTTTACAGCGCCGGGGATCCGGTAGCTCTTCGATCCAGGAGTTCTTATCCAGCAGGTACTGCGGGCTGCAGAAGGACAACATCATTGAGTGCCAAGTCTGGCATGACCCCCCTTCCCCAGAGCGCAGGAGAATTAAGGTAGGATTATTACTGAGCGTGATGGGCGGTGACTACATTTGAAATATAAACAAATGAATAGATAAATAAATAAATAATGTTATTATGTACAAAAAGTGCATAAAGAGTCAGAAATCAGGAGCTTTCCTTTTCTTTTTCTTATGATTACTTCCTTTTTTCTTTTTTTTAGGTATTTTAACTTTTGTTAAATTCGCTTTGTCTCTCTCTTATTTCCTTTTATCAATATATAAACACCCCCTCCCCCAAAGTAATGATACATTGGAGACCTTAATATTAAGCAATTAGCTCAAGATCAAACCTATTCTTACATAACTGACGTGAATGGCAGCCAGGGGGCCAAAGTGGGCAAGAGAGCTTTGGAGGAGCTGCGTGAGGAGGCACAGGAGGGTCTTCAGAGGAGGGATGCAAATTAAAAGAGCGGGCTAAGAAAAATAAAGCAAAGACTTGAAGCTCCTTCAGGAAAAGGAAGCAGAGAAACAGAAAAACAGACTCTGTTGTCTGACTCTTCTCAGGAAGGCAACTGAGAAAAACTTCTTTCTGAGGTACATGGAGACAAGGTTCACCAAAGAGAATATTTGAGAAGATCACACGTCCTATTCAGGGCATCTGCTGGAATTCCCTCCTTTATGCAGTTACTAAGGATAAAAGGATCCCATTGTCCTCGTTTGCACTGGATCACTTGCTATGTTACCCATTTTAGCTCCTTAATGTAGCTTCCTCAGCCAGGTACCTTCTGAATATATGGACTACAATTCCCATAATAGATTCACGGGTTGGGCTGTTCTGAAAATTGTGGTCCAACACATCTGGAATGCACTAGGTTTGGGAAGGCTACCTGAGAAATATCAAAAATATTACTGTACTCCAAGACTCTGCGTGTCAAGGACCCCCAACTACACACTTCTGCACCTGCCCCTTCTGTCTCTCCACCAACACACCTCATTTCCCTTTCTTGTTTCCCAACCTACCGATCATTTGAGTCACGAGTTTCACCGTCACGTCCCATCAACAAATATTCTTTGCCTGCAGCCAAGCGAGTTCGGCAAGCAGACCGAACCACGAAGCGACGGATCTGATTGACACTAATTTTGGAGTCTGCAGCTACAGAGAGAAAGACATCTAACATTAGGGGAAGTCTGAAGGCACCTAACAAGGTGGTGGGCTGTTCCACTAACTCTATTTCCAGTTCCCAAATGATGTAAATTACTCTTGTACCACCCAGCTTGCCCTTCCACTGACCCCTCAACACTCTGGTGGCAGAACTGTGTTTGCAGCCATTTCTCCTGAGCTAAAAAATCACTGGCTGTACTGCCCAATGGCTGGAACAACACATGATCCTGTGGGAACACAGCTGGCCAGGGCCTGCTATAAATCCTGATGGCTGATGAGCCCCAAATTTCTGAAGCTAAATACCTGAGGTATGGACTTGGTTAATTTCCTGGTTGGAAATTAAAACACGCACACAATACAACAGGTAGTAAAGTTGGTGCAACAAATAGCCCAAGAGAGAGAGGCTACTCACTGAACTGCAGGAGCTCCCGGATTTTAACTTCATAGACCCGGAAGGCACTTTCTTGGCTCTCGCGCTCCACTCGAACGATGAACGCTGTGAAGAGGAGACAAAAGCAGTCATCTTTGCCCCACTGAAGGTCAGAGAAGAAGGCTGAAGCCATAAAGTAGAGATTAAAACTTATAGTGAACACTGACTGGTGTGATCTGTTCAGCAGAAAAAGACCATACATCCCATACATTTTTAAAAAATGGCAAGAAGAAGAAACCATAACCCACTGATCAAGAGGCCAAAGCTGTTAGCAGAACTAGGGGCTCTTCCAGATGATCAAATTAAAGAGTTGTCCACCAGTCCTTGAGGCAGCAGGAAAATACGTTGGCATATACGGTGCTGCCTTCATTGCCAATCCCTGTTCTGCTAAAGTAATGAGTCCAGCAAGCAACACTGACTTATTTATTCAAGGTCAAGTTAACAAAAGGGAGTGGTGGATTCCCTTGGCTTGGTTTTCTCTCCCACTTAAGCGTCACTGGCCAGCAGGGAAAAAACCCACTAATCTGGAGGGGATGGGTCAGATTTAGATGGAGACTTAGAAGGACAGGTTGGTTCACCTGGCAAATTTCCCAGCTAGCAGGGAGTACATGCTACAAGATCTCGTGATTGGTAAAACCATTCAACCATGCCTATCATGATTATCTATCTATCTATCTATCTATCTATCTATCTATCTATCTATCTATCTATCTATCTATCTATCTATCTATCCATCCTATCATGGAGACTATTTCTGTCTAACCTATCTCTCTATCTAATCTATCATGGAGGCTATTTCTGAGCACAGGCCTAGTGCTCTTCTGAAAGTGCACTAAACCTGCATTCAAAATAGCCTAGCTGACAGGGAAAGATGAGAAAATGATTTTAAAACTATATGACA